TTTTTTTTTTTTTTTTTTTTTTTTTTATATTTCCTCGATATTCACTGTCACATCTGAAAATGTAATCAAACCTTTGAGACCAAAAGTCATGTCCCAAAAGGATGATAATATTTCTCTTTTCCCAGTTTGTTTTGTGGTTAGAGGGTCAATATAAGACTTGATAGGCAACAGATATTTATTACCAGCCTACATATTATCCTGGACTAGAAAAAAAGAGACGGTAATATTTAAGGGGAAAGATAAAATGTTTACTTACTTATTTTCTTATTAAAATGTGACAATTAATTCTTTTCTTTGGCTATTAAGTCAAAGCACAAAGAACTCAGCACATTATCCACAACATAATAATCTAGTATTTACAGAGAGGAGACACTGGACAACACTCAGTTGTCTGATTAATTTCCATGAATTCTAACAAAATTAAAACATTCAAACACCTAAGGTTGAGTTTTCAAGATTCAAGTTATCTATGAGTTAGAAATGGGCCACAGATGTTTTAAAATACAGAATCATAGAACCACAGAATGGTTTGGGTTGGAATGGACCTTAAAGATCATCTAGTTCCAACCTCCTTGCCATGGGCAGGGAAATATAAAATGAAATGAATTACCAAAAATTGACACAATTTTTTTTTTTCATTCTACATAAAGATACCATCACTTTTGTGAATCTTATGTTAATATCTTAAGGTTTTATCTTTCCTACTGTTTACACTAATTCTACATAACCTAGCTCTCCACACGAAGGGAGGAATTAGAACTCACTGATTGTCATTTATACACACTACTATAATGTAGTAGTCAAAATTAATCTGAGGCCCACCTCAGAACCACTCTGCAGCATGCATCACCCAGCTGCTATTTGAGTAATTCCAAAACTTGAGAAAAGATGGCCAAAATTAACCGATGTGTTGTATGGACTGAGCAAAACCCCAAAATATATCCACTGTCGTTCATCCTGTATTCTGTTTTGCTGTGCCTTATGGGAAAAGGATGATATCATGAAAATATTACAAATCTATGTTAAAAACAAAGTGCCTTCATCAAATGGTATTAATCCTAGTCAAGATCCACCCAATTTTACATTGACACTATCTGCTTTTATAAACACATTAACATACAGTGCTAAAATAGGGGGGTAGAGTTCACTTAAAATCATTACAGAATATACAGACATATAACTAAAAAAGTACAGTATGGAAATATTATTCCTCTATCTGTTTATCCAGTCATCAATTTGCGCTGTTTGTATTTTTGAAATTTTTGTCTTGTTGCACCGGTGTACACTTCCCATGCTGACCCTCCAACCTGGAACACTTACAGAAGTCATGACTGAAAAAAAGATTTCCTGCTCTGTAATCCACTTTACCAGCCCACTTCCATATCCTGAAAGGTATGTAAACTTAAGTGCAGCACTAGGTGTCCATATAAATGATCCTTTCAGAATTCTTCCATGTTTGTTGAAACATTAGGAGTTGCTGGGTTTGAATCTTGAGAAATGGCAGCAACAGTGACAATTCTTGGAGAACCAAGAACCTCAGTAACTGAAGAGTCCAGTTCTCCTGAGGTAACAATAGCAAGGGCTGTTCCACCACCTTTCTTGTTCTGATGAGTTTTGACGTGTTTCGAGAGATGGTCACTTCGCATAAACCTTTTAGAACATTCTGGGCACTCAAATCTCTTTTCACCTTTTTAAAAAGAAGAAAACCAAAATGTTACTGAAAGAGAGCGCTGAACACTGCTTGATCATCTGAATCTCACCCTATTCAACATTCAAAGTGTCTTTAAAAGGACATGTTTTCTTTTCCATCTGACTCATTTCCAGGTGTGTTCTGTTCGGCCACAGGCTTTTGGCCACTTATTCTTCACTACAAACATTTTCTCAACAAGTATTTGCTATGCTGTGATTACCTGATCAGGAGTTTGAATTTCAGGACACCAGAGATTTTTAATAAACTTACATGAACCTACCAGAGCAAGGAAGGTAAAAGCACTCAGAGAACAACTTGGTAGCATTTTTTAAGAATACTTTTGTTATTTAGTGATGGGATAAAAAATCAGAAACCTGAATTCCAATGCTCCATGAAGATGTATGAAATCTACATCAAGAGAGACAAATTCAATTTACCAAAATGTCCTGTCACTGTTCAAATGTAATTAGTGCTTAGACATCAGGTGCTGTAAGTTGAGAAAGGATCTGGCGCATGGACTAGGTTAATGAATTTCTTAAGGACTGAGCTAATCCAAGTGAGGAAACAATAACCCTGGTCCATGGCCAATCCTACGTGCCTTACCTAAATTTGTTACATTTAGATCAGGCACTAGCTAATGTACATCAGCTATCTATGATGAAATGGTCATCTTTTTCTAGCCTACATACAAAAGCTGGAACAGATCTCTTTTGATTTATATGATTTTACAGTCAGCCTAAATTAATGAAAACTGGAATCTACTGTTGTGAGGTGCCTCAGGGAGGCAAAGAGTTTCAGATAAGCACTGTGAAAGGAGAGGCATGGCTGTAAGCCATGTGTGTGAATTTTGACACCCTGTGTTGGGGGATGGGCAGTGTGAGCCCTGGATGAAGTTGTCCCACCCCAAACCCCTTGTGAAGGGTAGCCCAGAAGTTCTGATTGGGTTTGAGTCCCTGGGGGTGTCTCCCTTGTGTTTCTAGTGGTCCCTGACCCTGAACTCCACCCTGGTTCTGTTCCTCAAAACCCGTCACCCTGCCTTTGCTCGGAGCTCTCTGTCTCCGGATCTGAGTTGTTCCCATGCTGAATAAATGGTTTCATGAACAGAGGCCCATCTTGTTGGTGTTCCATGCAGGTCCCCAGAACCTGTGACTTCCCTGGACATGGATCCTGAGGTTGCAGACTGCAACAATCTACCTCTTCCTTGCTTAAAAGTTACTTTATTTACATTTAAGGGTAGTTTTCAGCTAACTCAGTAAGTGAGACCCTTGATACCATTGTTTAAGTATGGCCACTACGATTCAGACTTGCTGTACTATGGCTACAGAGGGATGACCAACCTGTGTGGGTTCTTCTATGCCTTTGTAACTCATCACTTCTTGTGAATCGCTTGCCACAAAAAATCCAGTTGCAGACGAATGGTCTTTCACCAGTATGCCAGCGCAGATGTGCCCGAAGATGAGATGTCTTGCCATAAACTTTTCCACATCCTTCAATATGGCAGATATGCTGTTTCTTTTTTCCTGGCTCATTGCTGCCTCTAAAAAGATCATATTTAAACAGCTAAGTAGTTATATTCTAAAACATTATCAGCTATTAGGAGAAACATTTTATGCTAACAGAGGCAATTTAAATCCCCATCTAAAAAAGCCCCCACAAATGTACTTTCTAATAGAAAGCATTAAAAATCTACACAATATAGGACAACTTCATTCCCAAATGAGGCAAGATGTGATAAGATGCTTAAATATATACTGATAGAAGTTACATTTACCTTCCTTCTCCCTCTCTGCAATTGGGACACGAGCAGGCAACTCTTCTCAGTCGCTTGCCAGGCTGCACTTCCTGGTCAGAAGCTTGTTGAGCTTGTTGAAGCTGCACTTGTGTTATCTGATCGGGACTAACAGCACCAATTGCTGCATTAGCAATGCCACCTACTGCTACAGTCACAGGAGCGATTGTGGCTTGCTGTACTTTTACTCCATCCTGTCCTTGCTGTTGACCTGTAAAACAAAAATTGTTTCAATAAGTGAAATGCACAAATAACCTTTATACATTTACATCAGATGGACAAAAATCCACCTACTGTTAAGTGAAGCCACAAAAAAAAATTAAATCCAGCCATTTTCCTGAAGTACTACTTACCTGCTAGTTTAATGTAATTTGGTATTAAAACAGCACAAGATTGCAAATTCTTGACTGATACTAAGAAAAATTAACTAGTTTAAAAAATGTATTCTTTTTCTTAAAAGATGAGATAGACAAAATCTTACACAGAAATATTGTTCAGTCAATTGCCAATTAATATCTCTCTAATAACCTTGCATTCAGAAAACCACAATTAGCTAATTACAAGTTGCTTTATGGCACTTACAGAATTGTCAGTTCTTTTACAATCTGTCTTGAATCAACATCGAGCCAGAAAGGAACTTTAGAATGAAAAAGATACTTAGGACTAGACTTGAACAAGCTAACATACCAAAGCTTTCTTGAGATTTGCTTTGCAGGATTCTCTACTGATGATGGGGTAATGCTGGTTAGATGTATAAATAGGGGGACAAGAAGTAAGAGCAGCCCTGGGGAAAGAGATCTGGTGTTTGGGTTGATGACAAGCTGTACAAGACTCAACAGAGTGCCCTGGCAGCTGAAAGGTGTCCCCCTCTGCTCTGCACTGGTGCAGCCCCACCTCGAGCACTCTGTGCTGGTTTGGGTGCCTTAATGTGAGAAGCACAACAAACTGTTAGAGAGTGTCCAGAGGAGGGGAGCAAGATGATGAAAAGTCTCCAGAGAAGGACTTACAGGGAGCAGCTGAGGGCACTTGGTTTGTTCAGCTGGGAGAAGGGCTGAGAGGTGACCTCCATGCAGTCTACACCTTTCTCAAGGGAGGCAGTGGAGGGAGAGATGCTGATCTCCTCTCTCCTCTTTCTGGTGACTAGTGATAGGATATGAGGGAATGGCATTCCCCTGCAACAGGGGAAGTTCAGGTGGGACATTAAGAAAAGACTCTTCACTGAGAGGGTGGTCGATCACCAGAACAGCCTCCCCAGGGAAGGGATCAAATGAAATTCCAAGGCTGACTTGATGAACGAAGAATTCAGCCTGACTGCATAAGTCCATTATCTCATTGGCTTTCTTGATCTAATGAAATCTGGATTACTGGCTTGATATTAAAGCAAAATAAACTACATTCCAATATAGGTAAGAAGTGTAGTTTCTTGAACAACAAAGTAATATTATGTTTGTTTTAAATGTTAGTAATACACAGACTTAGAAAATACATATAATAATCTAAATCTGACACAGAGGTATGACTTCCAGCCACAATATAACAACACTGAACAGCAACCCTCCTAGTAACAGGAATGGGACAAAATATAATTAGATACTGCCATTTTCAAAAATTCACTGCCTTCATACAACTGTGAAATTAAAAGAAATACTATCTCCTTATTTAGAGAGTGTAACAGGCAACCAGAATTCTTCAGAGCAGAATACAATATTTTAAGACATGAAAGTCCTCAGTATTTAAATATTAATTTAAAACATAGAAAGTCCTTGGGGATAACATGATTCAGAGATATTTGAATGGGCTTTAATGACTTCTGTAGCATCCACAACAGACATCACCAATGGGGATAAGAAGGCTCTCTCTGAAGCCTGAAGTACCCAACTACTGAGTGAGTTGACACACAGCCCAGCATGGGACAATGACTACGTCATTCCTGTGATTGCTGAGGGGCAATAGATGCTTGGACAGACTATCCTGTGTAACACCATGCTACCAGCCAGAGATGAAACCTAACACACACCACCTAACACCACCACATACATGCACATAGGTTAGGACTGAAGAACATGATATACAGAGAACCTCCCAAAGTGACTTGATTTGTCATCTAAAGGCCACTGCTGGCTACAGGAAATATAATAAATCTTGTTTCTGCCAAGGTCAGTACCAGGTTATTTTTACCTGAAGCATCAAATTTTCCCAGTATTCTCCCTTAATTTGTGACTGGAAGTTGTAACTGATCTGCCTAGATATGAATAAACATGAATTCCTTGTCTTCTTAAGGCCATAAATACTGACAGACACTGAATGTTTTCAGTTCTCTGAAAAGAACAAGGACAAGCCCACAAAAGATAGTGTTTAAACTCCACTTGCTGTTGGACAGACAGTATAACAAACAAAAAATCTAAAAGGATTCTGGTATCAGCACCAAAGGAAAAATAATTACAGGCTTAACCTTGAGTGCAGAGTCTTCATATGCTTAGGACAGAACCAAGTCTTTCTTTACAGAATAGCAAAGTACTAGAAATATATTTATTTCCCATACTTTAATGGGAAAGAAAAGCACTCATGATAATCCTTGAGGGAGAATATGATAGGGTAAAAAGAACATCATGATATAAATGTAAATAGTAATATCAAGTACTTTGGTGTAACAGTAGCTGAAGAGAATACTAGAGCTTCCAAAGAAAGTGCTAGTCTTGGGGCAACTCCTTGTTAGGCTGTTAAGCTGTTGGAACACTGACTGAGTGCTATAAACAGCCACAGTCAAAAAAAGGCTAATTTTTTTTTTATATCTAATGCTTATCCTAATATGATAATGTTAACATGATAATGCGAATGCTTGTGGTAAAAAACAGTTGCACTTTCTGGTGAGGCAAAGGTAAATGAAAAGGAAGAACTTGCCCAATGTGCAGTCTTTTGCAGAGCACATTCCATTCTTCATCTGTTAAACATACCCAAGGTGCAAACTCCTTTAACTCACAGACCAGCACTAGAAATGAAGGGTCTGTGAATGGTCACTACAAAAGTTAAAGATGCTAACAGATATTGTGATCTACTGCAGCCTCCTATTATATTTTCATTTTCAATCACATTTTTGAGTACATTGTTAAGAATGATACTAATTACAGTCTGTTAGAAAGATGACTCCACCTATGTCACAAAGTCCTGTTGGAGCAAAGAAGTCCAGAGACCTGATCAGTCTGTGGTCAGAACTCAGTTGAAGAGGACAATTATCTTTCTCTCTGACTTTCTTGAACAGATATTAAAGTTTCAATACAACCTTTCCCTGGGCTGCTGTCCTGAGGTGACTTTATGATGTGGTATCCTGAAAAAAAGAAAGAAAGAAAGTATCCCCATCGTCTGTAGTTTTGCTCAGAAATGGACCCCGTAGCTCTAAACTTCGCCCAGAGAGACAAAGAGAGAGAAGGGTAGGGGAGATGTTCACCATTTATCTGCAGAAACTTCATTTTTACTCTTCTGAAATTCCTTTTCTCATAGACAGCTGCCTAGCACAGACAGCCAGAGAAATATAAGGCACTCAGAGTGCTCTTGGAGTTCACAGCCCTGTAGCTGGGAAGCGAAAACAGAGAGGTATTTCTTTACTTTTAAAGTAGCTTCTAGTTCATTAGCTGAGACAAAAGGTTTTTCTCTAGACTGTGGCTTCTTCAGAGAAACTGTTCAATGATGCTCTGGTTCAGAAGACCAACACCAAGAACCCATGCCAGTAAACCCTAGTGTGGAGAGGCCCACACCCCGCCCACCTTGGATGCTGCCTTGACAGCTAACCCAAAAAAAGCCATACCTACAAAAAAGACTTTAGACTCTGAATCTACCATCTCTTCAGAGCAACAAGAGGTTTTATTATTTGATATTAATAATTTTTAATGTTTTTGAGTACTTTGCTCATTAAAGAAATAGGTTTTTTTCTGCTTCTCTTGAAGAAAATTTATCTCCTGAACTGGCTGGGAGAGGGACCACTTAAATCTACTTTCTAAAGAAATCCCTTAAAAGTTCCCTCCCTGAATTTACCCTAAACCAAGATAGGTACCAAACTAAGGCTTTTCAAGCAAGATGTGAATTGAGGCACTTGAACCCTGAGGAGGATGACTCCTTTTCTCATCTGATGATTACTGGTTAATATTCAAGATATAATTCTAGGATATGACTAATCCATATTAATAGAGAAGCCTCTAATTTCTAAAAATCTAGTATATTTTGCTGATTCCATATGAACCAATTTTCACTGTCCAAGTAATGAAATGACCAACTAAGCAAGGGTTTTCTGACACCTCAGCATATCAAGTACCACTGCTGGCACACACCTTACGTTTCTGAACTTCCCTTCTCCCATGTGAGGACAGGGCATATCTTGGAACACAGGATACACACTACTGAGCTACAACCTTACTCTGTTTATTAAACATAATACAGTGACGCATTCAAGTATAAATTCTTCACAATAACTGTAAAAATGACAATATAAATACAAAGGGGACAATGCCAAGTAAGGTTGCTCAGGCAGACAATTACATTCCCCACATGGTTTCAGTTAAACAGTAATTAGGTGACTGCTCTTTAGATAGCATTAACTAGATACATTTTCTAATATGCATGTTGATTTTTCTTCTTTAAATTAATCACATGGAGTCACTATTTTAAAATCCCTTCCCTTGAACTCCACTTACTAAATTCAGAACAGAAGATTCTGAAGCCCTCAAAATATCATACAAATTGTCTTATTTGAAGAACCAGGCCACAACATTCAATAAGCAAATCTAGTTTTTTGAGGTAAAAGAGTACCTGAAGAAAGTACACATACACAATAAATATTCTTTGTCAAAGATGTATGCAGCTAGAAGAAAACATGGTGAAGTTCAATAATGTAATTACTGGACTTAATTTTTCTTTTGAACTCCTGAGAGAGCACCCCAACAAGTAAGCACACTACTAATACACAGGGTAGAAATGTATTTATTCTCATTTTAAAGTAGCTGCACATAAAAGTCTTTGATCTTTGAGAATAATGTGAATGTATTTTAGACCATTGAAATATCTTTTCTCCTGAAGAAAAGTAGACATTTTTCACAAAACAACTGATAGAACATGCCCAAAAATCTCAAAATGAGTCTGCTAGGGGAGTCTGAGTTGTATGGGATCTATTTTTAAACTATAGACTAGAATTCTAGTTTTTTAAACTATATACTAGATCAC